ACAAAACAACAAGTTAAGGAACTGTTATGAACTGGTGGGTTAGATTTTAGTGTTGAGTAAAGAGTTTTGTAGCTTGTAAAATCATACTATAAATACTAGTAGCTGAAATGTATATCTTTGATGCATACCTTCTATGGAAGGTAAACATGCTGTGTGATAAGATTTGCTTCCTGGAATGAAAGTATGTATGTCTCCTTTTAATATTGTACTGCTTTGTCTTTAGACAATAAATTTGGCTAAATCCAGTTATTTGGTCTCAAACATTGTTAAGAATGAACCGTGAGTGTAGTCAAACAAGTGACTCCACCTTTTAGTCAATACCTACTATATTTGTTAATTCATATTTAAGATGATACAGACTGCAATTCTTAATAAAGAGCCTACTAGACAGAGCTATGCGGGTAGTTTATAGTTGTCAAAAATAGGCATAGCTCAAAGTGACTGCCCCCCACCACATGACAAGTAGATAACTTGAAAACTAAAAAGTTTAATAAATATCTCTAAAATAAGAGAGAAAAAAGATTTAATTCCTCACTGGAAAGAGAGTCTGAGATTGCATCATAGATTCCATGGCAGCAGAACTTCAGGACATGTATCAAGGGGACAGTGCTTTGAGCTATCATCAGCAGGAGAAAAAAACCCAAAAACTTTTGAAGTGATAATTGAGATGACCCATAGAAGGTGTGAGGATACTTAACATGGGGAAATAGATTCAATTAGCTTAATGACCCAACCATTCCCAGTCTCTGTTCAAACCTAAGTTAATTGTACCTAATTTGCAAATTAATTGAAATTCAGCAGTCTCTCTTTGGAGTCTGTTTTTGACGGTTTTTTGTTGCAAAATTGCCACCTTCAAGTCTGTCACTGAGTGGTTAGAGAGGTTGAAGTGTTCTCCCACTGGTTTTTGAATGTTATGATTCCTGATGTCAGATTTGTGTCCATTTATTCTTTTGCGTAGAGACTGTCCGGTTTGGCCAATGTATATGGCAGAGGGGCATTGCTGACACATGATGGCATATATCACGTTGGTAGATGTGCAGGTGAACAAGCCCCTGATGGCGTGGCTGATGTGATTAGGTCCTATGATGGTGTCACTTGAATAGATATGTGGACAGAGTTGGCATCGGGCTTTGTTGCAAGGATAGGTTCCTGGGTTAGTGTTTATGTTGTATGGTGTGCGGTTGCTGGTGAATATTTGTAATAATCAAACAATGATTTTACAAATCACTCTCTCTGGTTAGCCACTATACAGCTCTCTATGTGTTTCCCTCAGAATTCTTATCTATATGTCCATAAAAACATGACTACTTCAGTTTCTGATCCTATCCCCACCCTATTACCCATTTAACTTATACAAGCATATAACTGGATTACAAAACAACGTCATTTTACTGGCTGGGAAAGGGGCTAAGCCTTCATCCTTGGGGAGGAAATACTAAGAAGAGTGCGGTGGGGGACATATTTGTTGTGAATAAATTTGTTGAGTTCTGATAGCAGCAGCCAATCACAGCAGATAGATTTACAGTAATTAAGTACAATGTGAGGGGTGATAAAATACTTCAGCATAATCATATCCTGAAGTTATTATAAAGTGTACAATTACTACATCTTAGGCTAATATACATCTATTCCCTTGGTATCTTTTAGCCTTAGATACAGACATTTTCTCAAAACAGGGAGCATCCTCAAGTTATCATTTAAAGATTCAGAGGAAAGTCCAAAACAATATCTCTTGTTAAAAACAGGGCTAGAATTTGTCTGGGAAAATATTGAAACCTCTTCAGAATATCCCGAAGGCCATTAAGAATTCATAATCTGGAAAAACAACAAGGAGTCTGGTGGCACCTTAGTCTTTAAGACTCCTTGTTGTTTTTGTAGATACAGACTAACACAGCTACCCCCTGATAATCTGGAAAAATAACTCAATGGTTAAATTTATAGGAATTTCTCAGATATCTTGATAACATGTTATGTGTACAATATACTTATAATAACACTTTGACAAATGTTCAACTCTCTGGAATACTGAGAACATTATTATTACAGTTAATAATTATGGTGATATTAAAATCTAACAAAAGCGTGGAGCTGTGTAGGTCATATAGTCTCACCTCACTTGTGAGTGTGGATATAAAAGTCTTGGACAAAGTACTGGCAGAATGCCCAGAACTGATTGCACTAAAAGTGATTCACTCTGACCAATAGGATTTACGCTCAGAAGGTCTACTTGTATGGCTCTAAGACATCTATTTAAAGGCCAATATCATATGAAAATTAGTTCTGACCGTAGATGTTAGGTAACTATCTTATTGCTGCCCATAAGGTTGGATAAGCAGACACACTGATAAACTATAAACCCTGATAAACAGCAGGGAGAACATACAGAGTAGACAACTGTTATCCTAAAAACTGAAGCATCTCACACTCCAAAAATGTGAATGCCTAGCTCAGATAAATTATGTTGAGGTTTATAAAGGATTTGTATATCTAAATGTAACAGGTGAAAAATTGTCTAAATATTACTTTAGTATTAGAAAACTAAAAATAATTTATATCATAGGAAGAGAACAATATGCCTTACAATGACAAGCTCTAAACATGAGCTGTATGTTATTTAGGGATATAAAGTATAAAAGAAGTAGAACACCAAAGTACTATAAATTATAAAAGAAAAAAGTATTGGCATCACAATGGAGAGAATGTTTGAATTCTGACTCTAACTTTGGGAGAACTAGGGCATCTGTTTCCTTCTCAAGGTAGAATTTCTCTCTCTCGGCATTTGAAAGGATAGAACTAGAACTACTTAAATGAAGAAGATTTTTGGTCTGTGTTATTGAAGTTTTTATCAGCTTTTATCTAATTTGAAAGGTGGGATTAAAAACAGGTAATGTGAACTGTAACTAGACACTCTATCTACCACTTTTCCTTCTTACTGGGGGGCGGGGAGGGGTAAAAAAAGTGAACCCACACCTCCTTTTCTTTCTCAGTGAGACTTATGAATGCAGCCACTTAATCTGGAAAGGACTCCATTTGTATTGCTTCACATTTCTAAAGCAAACAGGATAATGAAAAGACAGACACCAAGGCAGGAGTAATGGCACTGCCCTGTCTCCATTATTTATCAACAAGAAGATATGGTCTAACAAACTTGTCACTTCTTATCGAATAAATCAGTCTCTTTTGAAATTCAACACTAGGTCTACAAATCCAGGAGACTGTGTAATTGAGAAAGCCATTTGTGTCAACATTGTTTACTTTGATGCACTAAACCCTAATGACATACACAGAGAACAATGAAGGAGGTCTCAATGCATATGCTATAAATTGAAGGGTATGAACATTAAGTGCTTTGAAGTTATAACACCCTTGACACACAGGGCCCCGCATACATTTGAGGCTGATGGTTTTTCTTCAAGTCTCAGTACCTCTAATACTTGCTACACCCTTAACCACTTCATATCACATTAGCCTGTGTGACAGCCTGCAGAATATAATCATTTAACCAGAAGAACCACTAGGAGGATGAAGAGCAGAATATTAATAAATTAGACTCTAAAAAGGCATTATGATATTTGAGATGAGGGAGTAAGTGATATTTTTATAGCTTGGTCCCTACCAAGATAATCTGAACAGGAGGTACAGATTTAAATTTGGAATAACTTGATGCCAAAACAATGAATAACAAAACTTGTAGACTTTGGAACAGTTTCTGATCCCACTAACTCAATATACTGAACATGGACAACTAGTTGGGATTTTAGTCATTCCACTTGAGCACTGACAACTCAAGGTAACATTCTAGAGCTGAACCTGTGCTTTTAATTGGCATGGCCATTACCACTAAACAGGTAATACAAAGGATATGCTCATCTATGAAGGTCAGCTTTTCAGTACACTTCAAGTATCTTGAAGGCTTTTCTTCAAATTTAACTGTCCAGTTTGGAAGTTCAGCCAGTAACATGAAGAAAGACCCATGAACCCTAAAGATTTTCTCTTTTTCCCCCACACCCAAAATAGTGATCAGGGTAAAGAAGGAGCCCCAGGAATGAAACCACAGAAGAGGGAGTCCCTCCTGAAGCAGCAGACTGGAAGTTAGTGAGTGAGAGAGATAGTGTGGGTGGGGGGAGTTCTCTCTTTCTTTCCCTCGTACCCTGATCTTTGACATAGATATTTAAAAATTAAATATAAGACTATCACATGCTGAATGTAGAATGAATTTATCTCCTCACCACAATCCACACATAGGATTTACTTTGGCTAAAATACCCTAAAATTCACAGCAGTGTGTGTGAAGGAACAATATCCCAGGATTAGGGAGATCTGGAACATAATAGGTGCAGAACTCATTCAAAGTAATTTTCTCGCCAGAAGATACTCCTTAATGCTACAGAGCTGGACTTTTTTATGTTTAAGTGGCCAGTCATCCTTTCCTTGGGCTGTTTGGCTTGACTGAGAACCACCACATACATCCTTCAAAGACTGCATTTCTGCAGAGGTTTTCTATTGGCTTGTGCCAGATACCACTGTGGAGGCCATTTTTTCCCTTGTACAATATTTGGCCAAAAAAATCTTGACAACGTAACTATTGGGCGGTGATGAAGTATTTTTTTAACTTAATGCAGATAAACAACTTCTACTATACTGTAATAAAGAAAAGTGTAAATGTTACTTTAAGTGTTCCAAATAAAGTCAAGTATAAGTTTAGATGAGGGAAATTAAAAGCTTTAAAACACACCAGTGCATTACTTTAATGATAATGAATATACACCAATGATCAATCTCAGAAATTCATCTCTAAGTGAATCCTCAAAATAACAGAACATAAATAACATAAATAAGTCACAAAGTAGAACGAAAAGGGAATAATATTACCAGCAATTACTGTGAAGATTGTTGGGATGCCCTACACATTTATGTTTACCTAAAAGAAAATGTGAATATCTGTAGAAAATTATATTTTACATATAAAACATATATATTTTTTATGCAGAAGTTCTTACCTAAGCGGTTTAAAAGCCTCTGCTCTGACAAGTGGTGTCTCTACAGAGTGTTCAAAAAGGGCCCCTTCTGGCCCTGAAAGACAGGAAAATATATCATGGAAAATGTAAGAAAATTGTACACTGATTTGCACACCATTCCAGTATCATAAATTTAATTTCCATACATTAATATCAAGGCAGATATATTAAAAATATGTTTAAAGTTCTGAGTCCAATACCGGAAGAAGAAGAAAAAAGCAAAGTGAAGAGTGCAAATACAAATCCCCCAAAATGAATACAAAATCCTCTTGAAATGTACAAAGAAATTGTTGAGATAGTTACAACAGTGACCCCTTCATATTCAAATAGCTGGGTAGGATTTAAATGTGAGATTTGCATTAAAATTAATAGCAGCTGAATAACTAAAGCCCCACAAGTCTTTTGAAAATGTTTAAGTCTTATTCAATACCACAAAAAAAAAAAGAATATTCAGAGTTTGGACTGAAATTTCTTCTCGGGTATTGCAGCATACTGTATGGTAACCAGTAAGTAACATCACCAATTATTTAGACTTTCCTATCTTTAGACTAAATTGGTGAGTAAAGCACAGACTTTCAGCATTAAGAAAAAAGAGAGGGAAACACCAATTTTGACCATAAATTTAACCATTTAAACCTTAGTGACAGACATTTATTATAACTTGTGAATGATAATCATAAGAGTAACATGAGTTCAAGACAGTAATCCCTGAATATTAATCTCATATTTCTGCAATGCTCTAACAAAAACAATCTGGTGGCAGAGACAAAAAAGAAAGGTTACTCACCTTGTGCAGTAACTGGAGTTCTTTGAGATGTGTGCCCCTGTGGGTGCTCCACTTTAGGTGGCAGTGGGTCCTGGTGCCATTGATCGGAGATTTATGGTAGCAGTGTCTGCGCGGGTCGCACGTGTGCAGTAGGCATCTCATGGTGTCATTGGTGCCGTGTGTAGCGCATGCATGACCCAAGCTCTCCAGTTCCTTCTCTACCACAGAATCCTCACTGCGAACTCTGAAGTAGAAGGGAGGAGGACGAGTAGTGGAGCACCCACAGGGGCACACATCTTGAAGAACTCCCGTTATTGCACAAGGTGAGTAAGCTTTCCTTCTTCTTCAAATAGTGTCCCTGCGGTTGCTTCACTTTAGGTGACTGCAGAGCAGTGCTCTTCTGAGGGCTGGAGGGACTTTGGGTTCGTTTGAGTCATTGAAGTACTGTGAGGCCCACTATGGCATCAGCCTGAGTGACTCCATAGTGATTTGCGAATGTGTGGATGGAGGCCCAAATGGTCGCCTTACAGATCTCTAGTACTGGAACATTATTAAGGAATGCTATTGAGGTTGAAATGAACCTAGTAGAATATGCTCTAATGTGCTCCAGCGGTTCTGTATTCCGGATATGGTAGCATGTTTGAATGCATGTGGAAATCCATTTGGATAATCTCTGATTGGATATAGCGTTGCCTTTCAAGCGCTCGGTAGTAGAGATGCTAGCGTCCTTCTAATGTTTAGAGTGTGTAGGTCAGCTTCTGTTGGAGTACCATGAGGCTTAGGGTAGAATGTCGGTAGGTGAATAGATTGGTTCATGTGAAATGCAGAGGTTACTTTCGGTAAGAATTTAGGGTGTGGACGTAGCGTGACCTTGTCCTTGAAGAATGTTGTGCATGAAGTGTAGGGATATTAAAGAAGGTACTAACAGTGATTCCCCCAAGTGACAGTGACCCCCTCATAATTTGTCCCCCACACTTTAAAATCCAACAGTTTCACCAAGTACAAAAATCTCTTGGGTTTTCTGTTAAAACTTGTAAGCTACTGTCTGTGGAAACTATTGATTATATCTATCCTGTGAAAGATACTTTATTACTATGTAAAACTTACAAACAAGTTAATTGACTTTGTTCTTGAAGTAATTGATACAATGTAAATAAACACTATAAGCCGTTAAGTGACTTTCACTTCATTCAGCGGCTCCTAGGACAGACCTCCACCCTCTGTGATTAAAGGGCCGGGAGTCTCAAATGAATTAGCACACACCCCGAAGCTCCTAGGACAGACTCCCACCCTCTGTGATTAAAGGGCCGGGAGTCTCAAATGAATTAGCACACACCCTGAAAGTGGTGGAGACAGTAAATTAAAATATGGTTAAGATATGGAATGTATGCTGATGAATGCTTGATATACATGAATGGTTAGGGAGGTGCCAGCCTAGAAAGGGAGTATCCATCGGCCGAAGAATGTGTCAAGTGGATGACCAGAAAACCCCCGGAGGGTAAACTGGGATCCACCCCATCACCTGGAAGAATGAGAAACACAAACTTTGGACAGTTTGGAGCCACCAGGAATGTGTCCAGGAATGTACCATCTGCTGTATGAGTCAGCAACAGCAGGATCAAACAGCTCCCATAGACTAACATAGGAATTAATTCCTATAAGAATGGACTCTCAAGACTGATGACTTGGAGTCTCTGGTTCTGCTGCCAACCTCCAGGAGCATCAGGTGCATCTGACACAGACTCGGCTCCATCCTCATGACCAAGTTACCTGGCCAGTAACTTGGCATGAGCAACTTCTAGGCTGGTAACTATAACACCTATACAGAACTTGAATGAATGATTGTGTGAATGAATCTATCTCTATATATATATGTGTGTGTATAAGGAATAAGTAGTGATAGGAATAAGTAGTCAAACAACGTTGTTTACTTTTATCTTTTGCTTTACCATTATATTTACAATAAATGTGGCATCTTTGCCTTATCCCTCTTAATAAGATCCTGCTGGTTTTTATTCTATTGGTATAACAGGAGGATCTGCTATGAGCGCCCCATCTTTCTCACCCTTCTGGATGAGGTAATGGCAACCAGGAATGCTACTTTCATCAATGAGTGGAGTAATGAGCAGGTGGCTAATGGTTTGAATGATGGTCTGGTGAGGCATTTCAATACCAGGTTGAGGTCCCATGTTGGTGTAGGTCATCACACGTCTGGGTAAACATTTATTAGACCCCCCGAGAAAGCATTTTGTATTTGGGTGTGCGAACGTCAAAGTTCCATTGAACTGTCCATGGAATGCTGAAATGGCCACAAGATGGACTCTGATCAAGCTCATTGTTAAGCCAGTGCTTTTCAACTCCAATAGGTATTCTAAGATTAATGGTAGTGGTGCTGAATCACTCGTCAAGTGTCTTCCTTGACACCAGGTGGAGAACCTCTTCCGTTTATGAAGGTAGGTATTTCTCATAGTCAGTTTCCTGCTGTTTAATAACACATGTTTAACTTTTTCCGAGCAGGTTATTTCATCATGGTGGAACCATGCAGGAACCACACCTGTAGGTGGAGTATTTCCAGGTTCGGGTGAAGAGTGTGACCATTGTGTTGAGACAGCAGATCCACCCAGCGAGGGAGAGCTCGCGTGGCGCATATCCATGCATAACAAGTAAGGATACCAGGTCTAGCTGGGCCATTCAGGACTATAAGGATAATTTTGTCCCTGTCTGCTCGTATCTTGTAGCATGCGTGTAGCACGCGTGATATCACTGGTATTGGTGGAAACACATACATGAGTTGTGCCTCCCATTTGATGAGGAAAACTTCCCCTAATGACCATAGTCCCAGTCCTGCTCTTAAGCAGAACATCGCACATTTGCGATTTGTCGACAGATCGATGGTGGGAGTACTCCACTGTTTGAAGATTGAACTCAGGTACCTCTCCATTCATCTCCCATTCATGATCCTGAGAGAAATACCTGCTCAGTGTGTCTGCTGTCGCATTCTGACATCCTGGTAGGTAACACGCTGAGATGTTTACATTGTGTTGTATGCACCAATTCCAAAGTCTCATGGTTTCTGTGCATATGATGTGAGTGAATGTGAGCGAACGTGAGCGAACTCCTCTTTGCCTGTTGATGTAGAACATGCAGGCGATATCATCGGTCATAATTCAAATGGATTTGTTCCATATATGAGGTAGGAAATATCTGCGGACTGCTCAGAGCTATAGCAAATTGATGTGCAGTTGAGTCTCTCCTGGAGACCATTTGCCCTGTGTCGTGTGTTGACACATGTGAGCACACCAACCTATCAGTGAGGCATCTGTGTTGATCACTGTTTTCGAGGGTTCCTGTTGGAAAAGAATACCCATACAGACATTTTGTGGCCTTGCCCACCATTGTAATGAGTTTAGAACATTTGGTGGAACTGTGAGCTGGTTGTGTAGGTTGTATTTGCTTGGTATGTATACCGTGCTTAGCCAACCTTGTAGGCATCACATATGTAGTCTTGCATGTCATACCACGAACGTCATGGCCACCATGTGTCCTAGTAATTGTAAGACGATGCAAACCTGAACTTGAGGACTGGCTTGTACCTCTGAGATGAGGTTCGTGAGGTTTGTGAATCTGGTAAGGGGTAATGATGCCTTAGCTTCTATGGCATTGAGGTGTGCCGTGATAAAATCTAGTTGTTGGACCGGGTTTATGGTTGATTTCTGTTCATTTATTTGTAGACCCAGCTCCCCGAATAGTGTGATAGTGGACTGAACTGCATCCATTGTGTCTTGTAGAGTTGGGCCTTTGATAAGGCAATTGTCAGGTAGGAGAAAATCATTATTCCAAAATCATTATTTGCGTAGATGTGCCACTACCACCGCTAGAGTTTTGGAGAAGACTCTTGGTGCTGTGGATAGGCTGAATGGTAGTACTCTGTATTGGAAGTGTCCTCATCCTACCATGAATCGTAGGAATTTCCTGTGAGCAGGATGAATGGTGATATGGAAATAAGCATCTTGGAGGTCGAGGGCTGAAAACCAGTCACCCCGTTGTAGCACTGGGAGTATTGTACCCAATGCGACCATCTTGAACTTTTGGGATCTGATGAACTTGTTGAGCTTCTGCAGACCCAGGATGGGTCTCCATTCCCTGCTCTTCTTCTGGGTCAGGAAGTAATGGGAGTAGAATCCCTTCACTCTGAATTGTAGGAGTACTTGTTCCACCGCATCTAGTTGTAAAAGATGATCGACTTCTTGTTGTAGTAGGTGCTCGTGAGAAGGGTCCCTGAAGAGGGA